TGGCACGCGCCGAGTTCCACGATGCCCATGCACCTCCGGCCTCACAGCCTAACACCTTCCTCATCTGTCCAAATGCAGAGAAATCTTAAACCCTGGAAAATGTTACCAAATACACATTTTTTTTCCCCAGGAAATGTTAAATTGCATTCTGAAGGTGTAAAATAAACCAGAAAACCACTAAAGTTCAATGGTAAGAGCCAGAAAGGTCAAATGCCAAGGAGGAGAAAAAGTGAGGCTTTTGCCTTGTAAATAGGAGATGATGTGAGTTCTAATGTTTCCTGGACAAAAGTCAAGGGATAGGCGAGATGGAGTCCTGCATGAGAGACAAGTTTTCTCATCTTGTGCATAAGCCAGAGTCTGGAGACAAAAAATGGGGATTGTGATAAGAAACCTCCAGGAAATTCACAGTGACACCTGATCGTTCCTCCCTCTCTGTCCTATGGCAAACTGGCTGGGTTACAACCCCCCCATGGCTCCCCAAGGACTGCGACTGGGTCTGATTCATCTTTGTGGGCTGCACAGGGCATGGCATACCTTACAGATCTATTGAACAGAGCCAAGCCTCCTAGTCATGAGATGGCTAAATCACTTTATCAATGTAAGTGCTGATTACTGCTCCAAAATGCAAGAATGCGGTGCCCAGTGCTCCTCTGCCGGTCCCATCTTGGACTCACCATGTTCTGAGCTCAAAATTCCCCTGTGCTGCCAATTCCATCTTGTCTGCAGTCCCTGGACCAATTGGGATCTGAAAGCTCTTAAACCTGCAGATTTCCTCTTTAAATGCTGTGCCTGCAATTCCAAACGCTACCACCAGGTGGCAGTTAGAATTACAGAAGCCTTCAAAACTAGTTTAATCTCTAAAACTACACTTCTAATGAAAATACACCCTAAATTAAAACAAGATACATACATACACACATCTATTTCTTAACTTATCATATTGGCATCGATTTAAAAAGTATGATATTACCCACAGTTGGCCAGGGTTTGGGGAAACGTGTAGCGTTCAGACGCTGTTGGTGGGAATGTAAATTAGTGCAGCCTCCTGGAGGGCAATTTGGCAATACACATCAAAAGCCTGAAACATGTGCAAACCCTTTGGTCCAGCAATTCAACTTCTAGACATTTATCCTAAGGACATAATCATGGAAGTAAGTCTAGATTTATTCCCAGGATGTTGACTGCAGGGTGAAAAATTGTCACTATAAATACTACAACTTGGAACCTGGTTAAGTAAATTATATATGATAAAATACTATGTAGCTATTACATCCTATAAGAATTCTTAATGATGTGGAAAAATCTCATGATACATTAAGTGAAAAATATCAGCTACAGAAAACATGTCCCCGGTAATCGCAGTTTTAGACTAAGAAATATAGACACAAACTTGTGCATAAAAAATGCTGGAAGAACAAACGCCAAAATATTGACAGGACTTGTCTGTGGGTGGTAGGGTCACGGATGACTGCTTTTTCCTTTTCTGTGCTTTTCTCTATTTTGGTAAGTTTTTATAATAAACACGCTTCTATTGTCATCGGCAGAGAGCCATTAATGAACCCCTGTGGCAGGAAGGACGGGCCAGCCTCTGTGCAAGATGCCTGTGGACATGGGACCCCAGCCCGGGTTAGTCTGCACCCCACCCCACAGACGTGGGTGGCTCCTACGTCCACCTCCCCCGCCCCCCACTATCAGGCCCACATATGGACCTGGTTTCCGCTGGTCTTGCTCAGGGGAGGGGCCAGCCTGGATTAATCCAGAAACGCAGCCGGCAGTCTCCACCATGGCCCTCCTGGACTCTTTTCTTGCTCTTACTTCCCCGTAGGACGTGATTTGTTTTAGGCACAAACTACAAAAAAAAAAAAAAAGCCCTCCCTGAGGCTGGTTTGAAGTTTACCAGGTAAACCCCTTTTCTGCAACTGCAGGGCCTCAAAGCTGTTTTCTTCTCCAAACGCGGCCAATGTTTGCTGGTGGGTCACAATGATTTCCCAAGCTCGTCTTTCCTCCACCCTCCAGCTCTGTGGGTGTGATCTTCCCATGTTCCGAGAGGCTGAGCAGCCGGCCGAGTGTGCACAGCTGAGCCAGGACCCAACTGGGGTCTGACCGCCGGGGAGTCCCTGTGACACTCAGCACCCGAGGTGCCTCTGAGGCGGCTCTGGCCCCTCGCGCCGGGGAACTTGCCCCGGCCTCTGGGATGACCACATGCAGAGGCCTGTAAACAGACCCCAGGCTGCGAGCCAGGCCCTCCACTGGCCAAGAGTGGATTTCAGCTCCAAACATGAGCCCCGAGAGCCTCCTACCCTCCTGTCCACATGGGCCCCCTTTCCCTGCTGCGGGGCAGTCAGGAGGGGTGTTGCCCCCACCCTGTGGCCCTCATGGAAGGGCCGGCCCTCAAGACAGGGCTGCACGGAGGGTGCTTGGTGGCAGGCAGCGGGGTCACAGGCTGGCTCCTGGGCTGGAGGCACAAACGCCCAGGCCCGGCGGTGAGCAGGGCCAGCCCTGCCAGGGAAAAGGCCCAGATTGGTCGAAACAGTGATGGGCCTGCAAACTGGGGCTGGGCAACCTCAGGAAAAGGGGTGACCCAGCCCTGGGGGTGTGACACTGGCTTCCTGGTGGTGAAGAGCTGGCGGGGCCACAGGCACTGACCAGAGCTGCCAGCAAACAGTGCCCTCACCTGCCTCCTTCCCAGAAAGCTGCTAACTTCACACCAGATGGTCCCACGGCATGCACGTCTGCCCCCGGCCTCCTGACTCCCACATTCAGAGCCCAGGCTGGGCACCAGGCATCTCACACACTAAGCTAACTTCACACCAGATGGTCCCACGGCATGCACGTCCGCCCCCGGCCTCCTGACTCCCACATTCAGAGCCCCGTCTCTGGCCCAGGCTGGGCACCAGGCATCTCACACACTAACCCCCCTCAGGCGAGATTCCCCGCAGTCCTGTGCCACCCCATGACCTGGCGACCGTCGGCTGTGACCGGCAATGTCTGGGTGCTCCAGGAGTGACCTCAGTTCCCCTGATCCCCAGCTCCTCTCTTCACAGGGAAGGAAATGGAGCCTTAGGGCAGCCAAGTGGTTCAATCCCTGGATTCAACCCTCGGCTGCCTCACTCCACACCCGGACTCCTGCCTGTGGCCCACAGAGCCTGCCCCCTCATCAGCCAACGCCCTCTCTGATGCCAGGGAGGGCGGGGTCCGGGGTCACCATGTACTCAGAGGAGAAGACAACGGGTGCCGAGGGAAGAACCCCTCACCAGCCTCCAGCCACCACCCTCGGCCCTTATTATTGTTATTAGTTATTATTTTTAACTCTCAGCCCTTTGGACACAGGCATCTACAGTCAGGAGTCAGCTGGAGTGTAAGGGTGCGTGGTCGCCTGGAGGGCGGGACTGGAGAGTTCTGGCAGAAAGCTTTCAGTCCTGAGCTGCTGGATCGAAGAGTCCCACGACCTGAGGCTGAAATATTCCAGCAAAAGCCTGTGGTTCGGAGGCTCTAGCTGCCATGTAGGACCCTTACTCCTCCCTAATCCAGGACGGCTGCGGGGAGGCGGGGGGCCCGGCCCTCAGGTGCTACCTGGCTGGTACCTCACGGGGACCAGGCTGCTGCCGCTGGGGGAGCTGACCCCAAACGCTACTGAGCCCAGTGTGGGCCACTCTGAACAGGAGATCAATGATCCCAAAGGCCCCACTGAGTCCCACGGGGTCTGGCTTGTGACACATTTTGTATCACTGTCACCTCCTCAATCTCATTTACTCCCAACTCCAATGCTGTGAGGGAGGCCCGCACCACCCCACTTCACAGAGCAGGAAGCTGAAGCTCAGACAGGTGAGCGCCTTCCCCCAGGTCACCAGCTAGGAAGCCCAGCATTGGAATCCAAGCCCAGTTTCCTTGATGCCTGGGGCTGACTGCCCTCCACAGCCTCTTGGGAAGGCGGCTCCTGCCGGACTGGGACCCCCACCTTGCCTCCATCACCAGGGTCTGGACAGATCTGACCGTTAAAGAGGCCTCTGAATCAGTCCACGTTTCCCTCCCCGGCCTGAGGCCCAGGACAAACACATTCCCCAACACCCGTGTTCAGCAAACCGCGGCTTGCGAGCCACATGCGGCTCTTTGGCCCCTTGAGTGTGGCCCTTCCACAAAATACCACGTGTGGGCGCACAGGTACAGTGCGATTGAAACTTCGTGGTCCATGCGCGGCAAACCTCGGCTCGCGAGCCACATGCGGCTCTTTGGCCCCTTGAGTGTGGCCCTTCCACAAAATACCACGTGTGGGCGCACAGGTACAGTGCGATTGAAACTTCGTGGTCCATGCGCAGAAGTCGGTATTTTGTGGAAGAGCCGGTATTTTGTGGAAGAGCCACACTCAAGGGGCCAAAGAGCCGCATGTGGCTCGCGAGCCGAGGTTTGCCGACCACTGCCCCACACGATGGTCCTGCCACACTCTCCTTCCACAGGCTCGCCCCTGCGCTGATGCGTCTGGACTTCTATGCAGGACTCAGCCCCGCCAGCTGCCTTTCAACCTGCTTCTTATGTGGCCCGCACCCAGCCTGGGCTGGGGACGTTGATTCCAATATAAGCTACGTTTTAGGTTTAATTGTAAAAGACCTGACAAGTGATGACATCACAAAGGCCAAACTGGAACCAAGGTCTCCCGCCCCCTAGGGGTGACGGACAGGGTGGGCGGGACGGGTGTTCTGGGAAGAGGGTGCTCCATAGCCCAGGGCTGGGCCCTGCGAGGGGAGACAGACAGGAAGAGCAGTGCTGGGTGGGCTCAGGACAGCAAGGCGACATCTCAAAGCCGCTTTGCCTTGCCTGCAGGGCAGCTGGAGCTGCAGGCTCCCCACCAGGCCAGCCCCACAGATCAATGCTAATCCCACCAAGAAAGACCAGTCCCTGAGGAGCAGAGAGAGAGGAGTGCAGACAGTTAAATAAAGGCTTGGAGGAAGAATACTGGCTTGAGAGAAAAGGGCAAAGAGAGCAAAAAATAAACGGCAAATTACCGGGTAGCCATCTCGTCCTGATTGCCCCTGTGGTAATTAATACGTCATTAATAATCAGACTTTCGGCAGAAAACCATATGGCAGCACTTAGCACTCAATCGGGCCCCACACCGCTCCCCCCGGTGTTCTATGGGTTTGCAGCAGAGGCTGCTGGTGGGTAACCGATGCCTTTGGGGAGACTCAGGGCTCTGACAAGTCTAGGGGATGGAGCACCCCGTTTCCTGCTGCACTGGGCCAGGCTGCAGGGGCCACCAGGGGCACACATCCACGCGAGTCCTCCCGTGGCAGCCGGCACACACACGGTGAGGACCACAGGGGCACACGGGGCTCCCAAGGGCGCTGTCACAGCCACTAAGGAAAATGCTCCTAAACTGCAGAGAGGCCTAGAGAGCTGATGAGGGCTTCCTGCCGGCTGCCACTGGACGGGGGAACTGAGGAAGGCAGCGTTCGAAGCCAGAGCGATGGCAGGGGAGGCATTCACTGCTCCTGGATGCTCTGTCCCGCATGCTCGGAGCACTGCCTGCCTGGCTGCGTCTCACGGGGTGGCATCCAGCTCAGGCTGCAGCCTCAGGATCTGCATTTTGTTTTGCACGCTCACAACCCCCCGCTCCACAGCCCTCTGCATTATGCACTTCGGCTACCTTCCCTGTGACGCCAGGAATGACTCCACTGTGGGAAACTGCCTGTGGCCATCAGCCTGCACACGCCTGCTGGCTGGCTCTTGGGCGCAGCTAGTGCCGGGAAGCCCGGATTCCGAAGGGTGCCGATCAGGAAATGAGTGTGGCCATCAGCCTGCACACGCCTGCTGGCTGGCTCTCGGGCGCAGCTAGGGTGCCGATCAGGAAATGAATCATGGTAAGTGGAAGTAGAAAATAAGACAGTCATCCGAAAGGAATTCCTTCGGAAGGTGCATTCTGACTCGGGTTGACTCGGGCAGGCTCTCAGTGCGCTTCTGGAATGGAGTCGCCAGGATAGGTCGGGCTCGGAAACCCTGGCGCCATGGCTCATAGACTTGTTGCGTTTCTTGAAGAAGAACTGGGTTTCTGGGCGGATGATCCCCGATGTTCAATGCTGCCTCGGCCACCAGTGCTTCCCCTACACCTTTCTCAAACCCAGTGCCCTTATGGCCCGCTGCCCAACCCAGGGAGCCAAATGGATTTTGGCAGAGAGAAACGGAGCCCGGAATCTAGTTACGAAGCCCAACTCATTCCTGGCGTAACTGCTGGACTCCAGAGCCTTTTGTGCCAAAGCACGTGAGACAAAAATCACAGAAACAGACGCACTGCTGCAGGGCAGTTAGAAATGTGGGTGTGGTGCTCGCCTTCTGTGCCCCCTGGAGCCAGGGCCTGGGTGAGGGGCAGCCAGGCTGCTGCCCGCTCTCTTGGAAGGCAAATGGTCACAGGGGCAAGTGGAGCCTGCTGAGTTCTGCGCTTGCGTGCATCTACAAATTTAAAAAGATACGACCCCTGTCTGGACTGATTTTTTTTTTTTTTTAGGACACACCTCTCTAACTAAGTATTATTTTCAAGGAAGTGCCACAGAGAGAGAACAAAATGTCTTATCTTTCAGGAGCAGAGAGCATAATCCAGGGCACTTACTGGAGGACCTGCAAAACACAAGCAGAGAGGCCACAGTCAGAACCAAAGGGAGAGAGGTCCCCGCCCCGGCGGGCCCTCCCTCAACAGCTACCGGCCTCCCCTCACCAAGGCTGAGATGCTGTCATGGGCCCAGCCTTTGCCCTTGTGGGGCTGGGGTGGGCGTGAGGACAATCCCGCACACACGTAGGGGTTAACACACTCCTCTCAGAGGCTGCTGCTGGTCCCTGCTGGGGCCACCCGTGTTGGATCTTGGCCATCCAGAGAGGAACTGAACCTTGTTCCTGCCCAAAGGACAAATTGTGGGAGAGACTTGGGGAGAAAACATTTGGGGCAGAGGGACGAGCAAGCATAGGGCTCTGGGATGTGTGGGGCTGGGCAGCCGTGTGGACGGTGCCGGAGGCCCAGGTGGGGGTGAAGGGCTCCGAGCTAGGGTGCATAGGGCACTTGGAGGGGACACGTTTAGAAGCTCAGGTGCTGCTGGTGCCGCCAGCTGGGCTTGTCTCCGGAGACTCGGACTCATGAGAACACGCATGACACCGACAGGCGTCCTCACCTTCTGGTGTGCAAAGCACATTGCACATCCACGATGCATCTGGCCTTCTGGACAATTTGTGAGAGGCATGATGAACACTCCCATTTGACAGGCGACAACAGAAAACAGTGGCTTGTTTAAGGCCACGTAATTGGTTAGGTGCGGAGCTCAAAACCCTCCGTACTTTCCACTAAGCCATGTCTGCTCCCGGCCGACCTGGGACTACGGTCTGGAGAGTGAGGCCGCACAGGGAGGCACATAATGGGACGCAGGGGTGAGTGCAAGAGGCAAGATCTCGGACTCAGAATTTTCCTTGGAAGAACAGGTATTTAGGAAACAATTACACAGGTGAAGGCACAGGACCGGATCGAGGCTGGGCCCACTCAGGACGGGAAGCTAGGCTGAGTCCAGAGGACGAGGGGTGATTCCAGGGAGAGGAATGGGGAGAGAGGAGCATGGCAAAGATGGGAAAGCTCACAGCACGCCAAGATCACTGGGCTTTGGGGGCTGCAGCAGGAGAGGGCTGGGGAGAAGGCAGGGCCAAACGGAGCACCGGGCTTTGTCTCCACATCATGACCCAGGGGGGTGAGGGGGAGGGGCCCCGAAGGCCTGGGCATGGAGGAGTGATTCGAGGGGGCGGAGTGGGCAAGGGGACACGATGCAGCTGCTCCTGTGTAGGCCACGCAGCCTGGACTCCTGCTGGCAGTGGAGATGGGGAGAGATGCATCAGGAAACACTTGTGAGGACAGACAGGACTGGGTCTTTGATTTAATGGTGGAGGTGGGGGTGGAAGGGCGCATGGGGCATGGAGGAAGGAGAGAGGTGAGACAGATTTTTGACTCGAAAACTGATGTATGATGGTGCCAATACCCACGAATGGAACACGGGGCTGTGCGTCCCCTGAGTCTAACTATGGCCGGGGCAGGGCTTTGGTCACTGGACACCCACACAGCTGACCTCTCACTTTCAGCCAAAGACCTTGCTCCCTGTTTTACAAAGAAACGAGAAGCTGCTGGATGGACGCCCCGTCCTCTTCCCGATGCCACACGCACACACCTGCCTGCACCCGGGCCTGCGCCCACCTCCTCTCCGGGTCCCTCAGGTTCAGGCGGAGCTGACTCGCCTCCACCTTCCGGGGGCCCCGCGCCCACCTCCCTCTCACCTGTCACAGGCGGGCCCACCTCTCAGGCAGGTCCTTCCCACAGCTCTGAAATGTGCTCCAATTCCTGATTTTATTTCATAATTAAAACAATTTTTTTCAATTACAGATGACATAGAATATTGTATTAATTTCAGGTGTATATGACGTATGAAGGATCACCCTCGTAAGTCTAGTACCCACTTGGCACCAAACGCAGTTATTATAATATTGCTAACGATATTCCCCATGCTGGGCTGGACACCCTGTGACTACCCTGCAACTACCAATTTGTACTTCTTAATCCCTTTACCTTTCCCACCCAGCCCCCAAACCTTCTGTCACCTGGCAACCATCAATTTGGTCTCCGTATCTATAATGTTTTTTTTTTTCTTTCTGTTTTGTTTGTCTATTTTGTTTTTTAGAGTCCACATATAAGTGCAATCTACAGTTATTTATCTTTCTCTGCCTTATTTCACTTAGCATAACACACTTTAGGTCCATCATGTTGTCACAAATGGCAAGATTTCATTCTTTTTCTATGGCTGAGTAATATTCCATTGCATATTCGTACCAGGTCTTTTTATTTTTTAAATTTATCTTTATTGTTGAAAGTTAAAGATGGCCCCTCCCCTGCTTTTATCCATTTATCCATTGATGGCCACTTGGGTTGCTTCCATATCTTGGCTATTGTAAGTAATGCTGCAATGAACATAAGGGTGCATGCATGTTTTCAAATTAGTGTTTTGGGTAAGTACCCAGCCGGGTCATATGGCAGTTGCATTTTTAATTTTGTGAGGACTCTCCATACTGTTTTCCATGGTGGTTGCACCAACTTGCAATCCCATCAACAGTGCAGGAGGGTTCCCTTTTCTCCACATCGACAACGATTGCTTGTTGACAGCCATTCTGGCAGGTGTGAGGTGCTCTCTCATTGTGGTTTTGATGTGCATTTCCCTGATGATTATGATGGTGAGCATCTCTTCACCTGTCTCTCAGACATCTGTATGTCCTCTTCCAATTCCTCTGATTGAAAAACATCCTTTGCTTCCACACCCTCCTCTGTTCCGCTCAGTTCTCCTCTCCCTCACAGCCACGTTGCAGGAAAGAGGTGCCGGGAGGTGGGTGGTGTGACAGATCACTCAACCAGTGAGGGGGTGGTCCAGGCTAGAAGCAATGCCATGGGACCCCAAACCATGGCACCATTCCCACTCTGGGGGGCCAGAGTGTGAATGGCAGCATTCCAGACTGGTCCTGTAGCTGGTGGAACAGGCCACACCTAGCCCATCCGATAGGCTCTAAAACACACCGAGCCACCCGCCCTCTCGGGCCCGACTGGCACCATATCGCCAGGGCACCAAAGCCTCGCAGGGGGCACTACCATACGGCCTCCCGACTGACACCTTCTTCTGGGCACCCCAACTCCACCAGCTACAGGCACCCCTTCCCAGAGTCCTGAATTGCACATGGAATAATATCCAAACCCCTGCTCTCCTGGTCAGTGCCCACACTCGCCACCGCACTCCACCTGCTCTAGGTTCCCCAAGGGCCCGCCGTCTTTGGCCTCAGGACATTCACATCTACCGTGTTCCTGCGCTCGGCAGGCCGTGGTTCATAACCACCACCTCGGAAAAGCCTTTCGTGAGCATGAAGTCTGAAGACGCCTCTTCACCCTTGGCCCCACTGAATTCTATCAGCTCCCTGCTATTTCCTTTCCAGCACCAATCACACTCTTTAGTGATTATTTATTTGTGTGTTGTTTATTATCTGTCAGCCCCATCAGCAAGGCAGCTCCCTGAGAGCTGGGCCCCATCTGCTCAGCTCCCCACCGTCTCCCCTGTCTCGCACAGGGCCTGGCAGGCACATGCACTTAGAAATGCGAGCGGAATAGATGAGGGGCGCCCGGCAGGCCATCGCCTCTGCTACGCCCTCCTCACCTCACTTCCCCCCTGGGGTTGTGTTGCGGCTGCAGTCGCCTCTGGAGACGGGATCTGGGGCCTGCAGCAAGCGGGGTACACAAGAT